GAAGAAGAAGAAGAGGAGGACGAGGACGAGGACACTGTCTGGATGCTGCTCTCAGGTTCAGACACACTGATGTAATCCATGGAGTGTCCACCTTCTCCCTTGGACTGCAGAGACAATGGGTTGCTTGAGGAAATGTTACCGGCCGATGTGATAGAAGAAGTAAGGACAGCAGCAGGAAGACTGCTGGTCTTGGCCTCCAAAACCGAAACCTTCTCTGCAGAAATAACTGCCTGTTGGTGCTGCGGCTGCAGACTCAGGTTAGATTTGGTTATTACCTGAGCCCCGTTCAGTATCAAAGGAGGACTGGCTGCAACAGGACTCAGAGCGACTGACTGGCAATCACCCAAACTCAGGCCGTTAATTATAACCCCAGCACCAGAAGTGGAGATCAGGGAATTCCCATTTAGCAGCAAAGGCTGGGAGGTTGTGAGGAAACCACCGGACCCGTTGAGGATGAGCTGCCCCCCTGTGCTACAGGGGACTGCGGAGAGTGAGATGATGGGAGCCGTAGAGCCGGGAGCCTCTTCTGGTTTGTCGGGAGTGTCATCCATAGCGCTCGCCTCGTCCTCTGTGCTGTGGTTTCCATCAGATTCACTGACATGAAGAAAGCAAACAAACACATCAAATATTATCATACAGACAGTTAACTGAAAAGGCTAAATGTTGGGATTCATTCAAAGATTGGCCGACAAGTAACATATTCAGGGATGTGGGTGGATCCCAGAAGAACCACCTGGATCCCTAACGACGCCTCCCGTGTGACAGAGTTGAAACCATGTACTCAATGGTGCCTCCTGTGGCAGTCTGTGTGGCTTGCAAAAACTCATACTGTAAATTTCCCTATTCGTGTGGTTCCATAATCGAGTGGTTAGCATATCTGCCTCTCAAGAAGAGTGCTGGGTTCAATTACCAGAACCACACATCCTTAATAGCACCTCCAATGGCAGACTTGTAAACTGCACTATTGTGGGACAACTAAGGGAATTAAAATTATTTTCTTCTAGTCATTTAAAAAAAAAAAAAACAGCATGATGGTGTGCCAACTGATTACCACACTACACATTTTCCAGTCAGTTGTTTTGATAAGCGTGGTCGTTGGTGTATCAAGTACACTTGGCGCCGTAAATAACACTTGCTCGATACTAATTCCATCAATACAGTTGTGTTTTGGCTGGTGTTTATTTGATTGTATTGTATCAGATCCTGCCTCCCCACTACCTGATAAAAAGAAATCAGGATAAAAACCCTCTAGCATTAGCCCCTGGCTGCACCTCCTCTACACAACTGCATGACCGTGCTCCCCACGGCTCTGCAGGCCCTGTAGGAAGCAGAGCAGCGGAGGGTTTGAGGAAACTTGAGCCATGTTAGGCGCCTGGATCTCACATTTCACAACAAAGCAACATGCTGTTTCAGTGAGACCTGTGTGGCTTCACCGCTGTCAAAAGTCAGCTCTTTCTGACAACTTTCCAAGACAATGTTTGGGCATTTTTCAGATGATAGATGCGTTTCTTGTAGCTTTTAGTGTGTGTACAGCCCCCTCCTCCCACATGGACCTTTTGCCTTTCCACAGCCTGCAGGCTTTGTTTACTGTAGCAGTTTGATGTTTGTAGGTTTTATAGACTGCCTGCTTTACTCTTGTCATTCAACACACCATAAACAAAGACAAAGTTCACAGTATCTGTGGATTAGATCACCACTGTAGTGTTTAGGATAAAAACATTTCACATTGACCCAGTGACTGGTACCTGATGTGGATCATACCTTTTGCTATGGGTCCCGGACGGAGTCCTGTCCCTCTGTCTGCGATTCTTGAACCAGTTGCTGACCTGTGTCAGGGACAGTCCTGTGACTTTGGCCAGGTTTTTCTTCTCATCCGGGGTCGGGTACCGGTTCTTCTTATAGCACTCTTTCAATGCATTCCTGGACTTCTCTTTGAAGCAGTACACCGTCTCCTCTCCGTCCCAGATGGTTTTTGGTAGCGGGAACTTCTTTCTGAGCCGGTACTTGTCCACTGCGCCCAGGCTGCGGCCCCGGGACCTCTCCGCCTCCTTGTAGCGGGCTTTCAGGTATAGGTCCTGCAGGAAGCCGTGGTTAGACGGGTGGAAGTCGTGACTCTCTAGGATGGCGTAAAGCTCTTTGAATTCTTCCCGATGGAACGCTACCAGTGCCTGGGCCTTCAACAGGGTCTCGTTGCCACGTAGCAACTCGGACGAAGGAGGTATGGTGGATAGAAATCTCCACAGGCGATCCACATTGCCCGCCTGCAGAAGGGCCTCGCATAAACACGATACTTGGTCAGTGGAAAAACTCAGCGCCGACTTCTGGAAACTTTGGAGCAACTGTTCAGAAACTTGCAACTTTTCTGTCTCTTCTTTGGAGTCCGGTGCCGCTGGTTCGTCGGAACTATTCTCGGATTGTTCTGTGGACTCCAAAGACAAGGAAGCCATTTTTACTTTAACTTTTTTCCCACTAGTAGTTTCTCCTCCTCTCTCCTCCCCCGTGCCTCCCCTCCCTCCGCTTTCTCTCCCATTCTCCGCCAGACCTGCAGACATCCAGCAGACACGCCCCCTTTTTTAGCTTCAAACACACTCCCTTTGTCTCAACTCTAGAACGACTTTATGACGCTGTGACGATTGTATTTTTGTTTGTTTTGTATTAATCGGTTGCAATTGGGTTGGATGTACTGAAGGAAACAATAAGGCTTATTAATAAATACTATATATAAATGTTCTTTCCTATAAACATAGAAGCACGGTCAACCCTCCAAACGTTCAAGGAAGGGTTCTTTAATGTTGGTAAGGGTAGGCCTCTCCAACCAGCAGAATATACTGTATGTAGCTTAACGTGTATATTTCTGACTTTAAAGTAACAACTCCTGCCTTTATTAATCAATTTGCTACAACATGCTGTATAAAATATTAAGGTTTATTCACAAAAATATATATTCATTTAAAATACATTAATATTTATATAATCAACCAAAACTTTCTTGCAATACCACCTTAGACTCCCCAGGGGTCGATAACTCGCGTATTGAAGACCTGCTTTGGAGGTGTAGAAGCCCTTTAACTTGTTTGGCTAAACTTTTATTGGTCCTGGTATTCAGGCTAACAAAAACATAATGTCTTTGTCAACGAAACTTAGCTAATTGATGATGCAAAAGAAACATTAGTTTTAAAAAAAAACATAAATACAAGGCAAGTCATGACAACATCACAACAAAGTTTGTAGTACTGCAAAACTAATTACGTTTTGGTAATCTATTGTCTTTATCAATCGGAGGATATTTAATATTTTTGTTTGTTTGTTCTTCCCCAGCTACCATCGACAAGTTATTTGCACCAAAATAAATACAGATATGAAGTTTAAGAAGTAAAATAATGAGTGAGAAGAAGCATAGCTGGTTACCTTTCCTTTTATTACACACACGATACGTTTCGTTATTACAGTTCAGAAATTCACTGTGTATTGTTCAGGAAAAACTGGAAAATATTAGAGCAACGTTTAATTTACATGGTAAAATATGTCTGGAATTGTCTGAAATCTTTCACCAACCTCATGTGTCTGGAGTGATTTTAGAATTGTCTATATGCAAAATTCAAAATATTATCAACAAAGAATAATCAACGATGTGTATGTATTGACGAGGCCTTTAAGGTAGTGTTTTGTTTGTTTAGAAAAGACTCACAAGCGCCCAACTCTAACCCTAACCGGATTTGGAGTGCCTGTAGTGTTTTCCCAGTGCAAATATGATGAAGGCACATTATTAATCTAACAAAACTGAGACTGTATTCCTGAGACAGATTTAGAAGGTAAAAGTCTAAAAGACTTTGTCATCTTTAATAACATAATATTAATATTATAATTCTACTCAAGTGTAGTTCATGTGTAATGTCAAGTCAATTTAATTTATACCCTCAATTGATTCTTCTTTTTTATAAGAATATTTAAATAAGGCTAGTATAATTTTATATTCTTATCGTGTTAGCCGCTTTTGGTGAAAATGTTTTGTCAGAGCGGGAGGGATTTTTTAAATTTGTTTTTAATCAAACGCCAATAGTGTACACCTACATATAATTTTAAGGCACACAGCACGACCTGCTGGTAAGAAAGGAAATGTTTGCGTCTTGTGTCTGTGGCGCCAGGGCGCTGTCCTTCATGTCTGACGATTCGACCGAAGTTGTGTCAATCTACACTTAAAGGGCGGTTCTTGTGCGCTATTCCTTCGTTCGGTGATCTGATTGGACAAGCTCATGCGCTTTGTCTTTGTGATAGGTGGATTGAATTTCGCGTCGAGGCGAGTCAGGAAGTATGTTTTACGTTTCCCACCCGTTTACAGCAAAACTGTTGTCATAACGGATAACTGATGGCATCGTCAGACTAAACAAACTCACAGAGAAGAAGAAAGAGTAATTTAAAAAACCACAAGAGGAACGTAACACGTGTCTGTAAGTAGCTGTGACACCCTTTCTTAGTCTCACATTCGATCGTCTGTTGATCCAACGTGACTGTTGTGTCGCTAGCCGCTAGCCACTAGCCACCAAACGTATGTGGCTAACAGTCTAGTCTAGTCTGTTTAAACAAGCGAATGTGCATTAAACCCAAACGTTTGCTTACACTATAAGTACGTTCGGTTGGTAAAAGTAAACTGAAACATATAATTGTATTGTTATTAGTAGACGCGTATCCATGACACATCACTTTGACAGGACTCTTGTATTCATGGATTTACTAAGGAATAAGTCACTTAAAAAAGATTGAATCGAGAGTCTGTGGTTCCAACATGATCTAAAATCCATTGCCTTTTTATCTCAAGGTTCCCCGCATTGGCTACTTATTAAAAGGCAGCATCATGGACGACCAAGTGACAGTTATCACCAATCCCATTGTGGAGGTGCGCATCACCAGCACCAGCAATTCTTCAGAGGTGCTGCGCAGGTTCAACAGAGGAATTACTATTGCGGAGTTGAAGGTGAGCTCAACCCTGCCAACAGCTATGACACTGCATACCTGAAAAAGCCCAAGATTGATTTGCAAAATATTAAAAAATACAGATAATATTATGGTTATCTCTCACACTACGGCATTTGATGTAGTATTCAGAAGTAAGAGGTTATGATTTTTTTTTCTTTCGCAACCAGGGTAAGTTGGAGATGATTGTGGGCTTACCTGCTTCCTGCATGGAACTGGAAGTTTTGAGCGTGTCGGGCGACTTCTTGCAGAAGATGGACAATAACGATGCTCTGTTGGGCTCCTATCCTGTGGATAACAACTGCACAATACATGTAAGTAATTTCTCCAATACAATTACAGTCTACACTCTTCCTTAGCTTAGTAATAAGTGTACCATTGTTGTGTATTATAATAAACAGAAAAAATATCAGTATATATCCATCCATAGTTTCATTTTGAAGTGAAAGCCTTGTTCATTTACTACTTGCTTAAATAGCAATAAAAAAATGTTTTACCTAACAAAATGAATAGTTGTGATTAATCATCGTGATTTTTAAAAATAATTGTGATTATCATTTTGGCCATAATCATGCATTTTGGTTGTATTTTTTGTTGGAAATGTTAGAAATGTTTTCAAATGTCATATGGATGTATTTTTTAGTAATATCTTTTAATGTCATTGTTAAGCTCTGTTAGCTGTGATTTCTTTATGAACATGAGCATCATCATCATCATTATCATCATATCTCGAAGGATGACGCTTGGTATTGTACAGTACTAGTTTGTTTTCCAATTTCCTTGACAGGTCATCGATCAAAGTGGAGGACAGATGGGCGAGTTTGGTGATGTTTCCAAAGTGGAGAAGTTTGAACTTTCATCTGATGATTATGAAAAGAAGACTGGTAAAGTTCACCATTTCTTGCCTCTGCTAAGATTTAAAAAAAAAAACCTCAAAAGTTGAAATACAACCTTACTTTCTTGTCCCCAGACTCAGCAAGGGCATTCATGAAGAAGCGTGGCCTTGGTCGCTACAATGAGGAAGAAATGGCAAAGAAGAAAGCTGAACAAGCTGCTAGAGAGGAGGAAAATAAGGCTGCTGCTGACGCCATTACAGTTGGCGACAGATGTCAAGTACAGGTACCTGGGCAACCCACAAAGGTCGGCTCAGTCATGTATGTTGGTAAGTGTGAATGTTATTTTTAATCATTATTTGGACTAACATTTTCATATTAATTTCTCACTGTGGCAAAGATGTTTTTTTTAAAATATTGTTAATCGCAAAAAATCAATCTGATTGGTGCAGATAAAACAGAAAAAAGATAAAGTCTTAAACAGTCAGTATTAAGAGGTAATTTGGTATAAAATTATACTTTTATCTTCATTACAGGTACAACAGATTTCAAACCAGGCTTATGGGTTGGTATAAAGTACGACGAGCCGCTGGGAAAAAATGACGGAAGGTAAAAATCAAGATTTTGTTTTTTTTTTCTCTCTTCCTTCGGCTTTTATTTTCCAATAATAACATTGTCTCTTCTTGAATTTGTGTCTCCACAGCGTAAACGGAAAGAGATACTTTGAATGTGGAAACCAATATGGTGCATTTGTAAAGCCCTCACATGTGATTGTGGGTGACTTCCCTGAAGAAGATTATGGTCTAGATGAGATGTAGAACTAATTTTCTTTTTTTAATTCAAAACTCTTAAGTTCATGCACCAACCTGGAGAGGTTTGACCATTTGATGCCAAGACTTTAGCCTTAAGCACTTGAAAGTTACACAGAATTTATAATCATGTAAAAGAAATTGACTATTCGTGGCTATTGAATGGCTAAAAACAGCTGCACAAAGCATGAAAAAAAAAAGGCCAATAGCTTGCACCATATCTCTCTCCCTGAGAAGAGATACTGAACAAATGTTTTTTGTTTGCAGTTCAGAAAATTCAGAAGTGAACAAAGTTGTATCCATAATTACTAACAGGAATGTTTATTGTTCTAAGAAAGAAGATCAAAAAAGGCCTTTACTCATTTCAAAACTGCATTTCTTTCAGTGAGTAGATTAAAGTCAAATCACTATTGCATCTCTGGCAGCAGGAGGAGGCTTTTGGTTTTGGACTCCCATGATATGTTGATGCATCTCCTAGTGGTTCCTGAAAGTTCTTTCTGTGTGTTAAATCTCCTCAACTGCAGCATATGGCTCAGTTGTTACTAATCCTTTTTTTTCTACATAACTTATCATTACTGTAGTTCGGTGTGCGAACTGTACTGCACATACTGTAATGTCATTTTGTGAGCACATCTAAAAGCACTGTCCTGAGTTTTTCCAAGTTTCATTTTAAAACCAATTGGCTACATTCACAACCACCATAAGAGTTCCAGTAGTTTAGGTAAATCAAGTTTTTACATGTGCATAATGACACTACTGTGTGTTTAGGTTTCTAAAATCAACCCATGTTTTCCTTGAACGACTCTGTCTGTTTACAGTTTGGTTAAGTGGATAATAAAAACCTATAACCATTCCTTGCTCTTTGGTCTCTACCTGTTGCACACAATATAATATTTTGTGATGAGAACCAAATGTTTGTATCAATTTCTAAATGTAACTCAACCTCAAAGCAAAAAAAAAGGCTTTGATCCCTGAAGGGAGCAGCAGAAGGGAGAAGGAAACTGTCCTGGAAGAATTTTTTCCATAACCGGACTTCCACAGCGCAAGTTAATTATTCAAAGAACTAAAGGTTTGCAGTTTTCAGTTACTGCCTCAACTTTAGTTCCAGGAATTCAATGGAAATCAGACCACTGACATACTAATTCTTTAGAGCACTATTCAATGAGAACAAAGGACAACAGATAAACAATGTTATCAAAACCAACCATGCCAGTGAATGCACGATTGGTAAAATTACATTGTTATTAGGATAATTAACCATTAATTGTAAAATAATCCCGTAAATGTGATTACTTCATTTAATAGTTGTTTTAACAGATTATGCAAGTCTTGTAATTACAAACATGAAAATCAAATGCCAATCCACATCCAACGTGTGACGTGACTTTTTCATGGAAAACAAGTAAAGGATTAAAAGGATGAAAGAATAATGGAGAAGAATATAAACAACAGCATGATGTCACATGATGTTTAAAGACCCGAAACTAACTAACTAACCCTAACCCAACGACCCTCGAAACATCACTGATGATGCACCCCAGAACATCCTTGAGATTTATTTTAAAAACTGGTGGAAGTCAATGATGCATATATATTGAGATTTAAAGGATCGCGAAAAATGGAAGGCATGTTACACATGAACAGACAACTAACTAAGAGAATTGCCAGAGGGAAATAGAGGAAGTGAGAGAAAAAAACAGAACAATAAAGTATTCTAGGAGCCAACAGATGTGGCAAGCTGGAGAGAAAGCAGAAATTGTTAATAATGAATAACTGGCTGACAGATAAAGACAGATAAAATGTCTTACCTTAACAAAGGATGACAAAATGAATGAAGTGTGACGTCTTTTTCCAGATAATAATTCATGTGACTCTTTAAGACAAAGAAATACACAGTTTAAAATCAAAAGTAATTTGAATCACATTTAATCACATTCAACCTTTGCCCCATGCTTTTTTTGTCATAGTTTATCATAAATGTACATTTATTTACTAATTGCTACTCTTTTTCTGATCTCATTATCTGTCAGTTGGGGCTAATCCCATTTAAATCAGAAAACATAGGGCCATCTAAATACAAACATTTAAAAACAATAATGAAATTATAATTGATAATGGATATAAACAGAAGGTGTCAAGTTAAAAAAGGCAAATTAATTATCCGTGGAACAAATAAGGCAATGGTATGTTGTTTTTTTTTCTTACCTTAACGACAAACACTACATTTTTCAACTGCACAGTTTTTTTCTGTCATACGTTAGTTAAAACTGAAAATTTAAAAATTTAAAGAAGCAAAATTTGATTTTACTTCAAAAATAAAACGTGTCTTTACATAATGATACCACGCAAAGGTTATTTAAATAAAATCATGGTCGTCCCTCTTTTAAAGAAACACGTCACTTTTAAAGATTCCACAACTGACCTCTCGCGATACTGCGCGCAGTTTCCCACCAGCCAGCAGTGTGGTGTTCTGGCGTGAGCGCGACAGAGAGACAAGGAAAGATGGCGACACAGGAGAGCGAAGCGACTAAAGCCATAGCGAGCAACGGCGAGGTAAAATGAATGACATTGCTATTATTAGATTTACTTTTCAGGACCGACAGAAGAGGACTGCTTTGTTTGTTTTTAGCGTAGACTCCGTAGCCCTAGACATTTAAACCTGTTACTGCTTTTTACATGAGCCCCAGTGACGTTGTAAGTGCCGGTTGATTTCTAAACGACGAGCCGAGAAATCCCGGCCCTAGGCGGACCACATGTACAGAGACATTTGGGTGTTGACGATTAAAGTATCCCCCGAATATACACGCAACGTTGTCAGGTTATGTCACTGGTTCCATGTGAGTCAGTGCTAACCGGTTGGTGGTGCGGTGTACCAGTGATCCTTCAAGGCCCGATCATGAGCGTCGCAGCTTCGCTTTATTAACCGGGCCAGTCGCCGACAGCTCCAACACATATTGTCCACCTATAACTTCATTTTAAATACCGATTATTTAACGTATTCCTAGGGTAATCCGCAGGTTAGTTTAGGTGAGAGGATGAATCAAGTGAGCAGTAGGAGATGGAACATTATTCTGGGTGACTAATGCTTGTCACAAGTTATTACAGGTTTACGTGAACCATCACCAGCACTAGCTGTACCTAATGTCAAGATGATGCCAATAAAATCCATACGTAAACGTGTGCGCCTGCGCGTGCCCCTTAGACCATAATTTTATCTTGAGCCCCGTTTTTACATTTATAATGCATTACATAACGTCAAAACAAGGCTGTGTCATAAAGGTGTAGTTACCCCGTACAGATATAAACAACAATTGACAACCTGTCATTAAACAGTTAAACCTTAAACATCTTCCTTCCCTCCCCTGCAGGTGGTGCTATGAACATGGTCGATTAGTCAAATTGGCTGACATTCTTTTATATATATATATATATATATGTATGTCAGACTTTATTTTTTCTCAGAGGAAATAGAAATCCAGAAACACGCACACAATAATTAAATGAGCTGTAAGATATTGTAGTAAACTGTTGCATGATTTTATTAATATTTATACTAACTTCAGTGGTGACTGTGAAGGCAACACTATGCAACATGTTGAAAAAAAGTAAATTCCCATTTGACACATTGAAACATTTTCATCTTTGACGGTAAGAGCAGACCTCCTTTCATGATTCTAGAAAAACATATGTGACCTATTGCGTGCATCGGTAAGGACATTTCACGGTGGATGTACTATCAAGAAGGGATTCTCGGCTGTGTTATTAAAATGCAATGTTAATATTAAAGTGGCAGAAACTAGGCCACTACACTCTATACCGTTAACACAGTGTACTTGGTGTATCTGTGTTTAAGATGGCCTCGGTCAGGATAAACAGCTGTTAGTTATTGAAAGGAAGCTCTAACAGGAGACACATTTCTCTGGCAGTAATTAAGGTCAGATGCATGAGGAAACGTCTTACATCCCAAATGTGGGAGACACGACAACGCGTTATCTCTCTACCTTCTTCCTTACAAACGGAGTGAAGTATTTGCCACAACTGGTTAATTATTAATCCCATGGTCTTCAGTTCAGTGTGTAAATTGTAAATTATTATCCTTAGCACTACTAGATAACCCAGGAGAACAAATTTCTGTCAGTTTGTGTAATATTCCTGACTTGGAGGCCTGAGATCCATTGTTTCTGATACAGTTTACTTCAAAACAATGGGACAACGCACCTCTGGGGATAAAAGCCTACTACTTTGAGCTGTGTTGCCTTGAAATGTTATTACAGCCCTGGTTTTAGATTTCTGCTCTAGGTCATTTTTACACCTCATACGACTGGATGATGGCATCAACAAACAGAAAACAGTTTCATGTATTAGCAGAGGCCCCCAGCGCAGATCTCCCCCCCCTCCCCCCCATGGTGGTGACAACAGGGTAGATTAGATGTTTAGATAGTGAACGAGTCTCATGACTTGGCATGTGTTTGTCTATTGTTACTTGAATAGAGTGTGGTCTTACTGGAGAGGCTGGGGGGTTAAACGGACACGCCGAGGCACACGGCTGAAATGAGGTTTTGTTGCTGATGTTACTGATCGTTCTTTACACGTTAATGTTCACAGGAAGGTAATAATTGGTGGGAGGGGCTATTTTGTTTGCTATGTTACTCGGCAAATGTATCACTTCTAAGAAAAGACAACGGTGGCCGTCAAGACCACTAAACTTTTTTTTGCGTGAACAAGAAAAACTGGTGTAACTGTAGCTCGACTGTTGTAGGTGTTTGCCAAACACTGGTTTATCTACTTTGCTGACACAGGTCCCAAAAAAGAGTGGGACCAAACTCAAAATATCATTCCTCACTCACTCAGTGTGTCACCTATTATGACCTGCATGTGTTTGGATGTTCATGAATAACTGCAGATCTTAAACTCTTAATCTTAAGAAAAGTCATAAAATAATCTGGCAGTATTGCTGGGAGCCAGTTGCTCATTGACCTTTGAAGGTGACGGCTAACGTTAACGTTGTTCAAGTGTATCAGCCTCCAAATGGTAGGGAACAAGAAAAAAGGGAAAAAATCAAGTCACTCCTTCAGTAGCAGCATCAGTTGTCACTAGTGTAAATGGTGCCCCCTTGTGACCACAGATGATATTGTGCATATTTTTGATGTTTTATGTCGCTTAGGAATATAAGACGCAGGACCAGTCAGACAACCGAAAAGCGCAACTTATTGTGCAGAAAATACTTCAATCGGAATTATAAGAAGTGCAATTATACTGCCCTGAGGTGACCACATGTTGGTACGTCTATGTGTTTGCAGGTGAGCAGCAATGGAACAACTGCAGCAGCAGATGGCCAGGCTGTGCAGACCACTGAAAATGCACAGGACCCTCAGCAGCAGCAGCAGCAACAAGCACCGAACGCATGGCAGGTCATCAAAGGAGTCCTCTTCAGGTTCGTATGGATTTAAAAAAAAAAAAAAAAAGAAATGATTTTTAACTTGACAGTAAACAGATAGAATCAAGGTGTAGTACAGTTATTACAGATAAATCTACTGTAACTAATACTGGTTAATCTACTGAGCCTCAGTGGATTGCCTGTCTGTTGAATGGGAAGGAAGACGATGGGGGTGAAAGGCTGCACTAATCCAGTCAATACAAGAATACCATGGCTCACTAACAACAACTCACAACATGTTGATTATATTGATGCAGAGAAAAAGATCACAGGGCACACGGAAAATGAGATGCTCCGACAACAGCAGCTAAACAAATTGTCATTGTGTCAGCGTGGGTTCTGTAGCTACAAGCTGCCTATCCGGGCTTCAGCTATGCAGAAATCTTGCTTCAAGGGATAAATGTTTTGGATCTCCTCATTGCAACCGTGGTTTAACAAAAAATCCCGTTGCGGTGAGGACAGCAGATACTTGTGGCATGGGTGTCACTGTCACTCCCATGTTTGAGAATCTACTGTGTGTGTATATCTAATGATGAAAATAAAATTAGAATCAGAAATGACTAAATATTGATCCCCCTTTTTTTAAACACACTTGAGGTAAAGTGTGTTTATTGATCCCCCTTTTTTTAAACACACTTTACCTCCACCAATAAGGTTCAGTTCCTTTTAAGGTTAAATGTAAATCTTCTAGTTCTATCTTTTGTACAGAATCTTCATAATCTGGGCTATCAGTAGTTGGTTCCGTCGCGGTCCCTCCACGCCTGACCCTAACACGCCGGCCGGGGCACCCAGGGTTCCGAGCAGGAACCTTTTTTCCAAGGACACCCTCATGGTACTGTGGCCATATTCTTAATGCCTTTTCATTCATTGTTTTTAATTGAATTGAAGCTGCTAATTAACACGCTTATGAAAAATCAAAAGATATTTCTCCTGTCCCTGTCGGGAGCCCTCCCCTCAGTCACACCATCAACACCTTTATTTCCTCACTGCATCTACAGGACCTGTATGTGTACGTGTCCCAGGAGGAGGTGTTCTCTGATTTCAACAACACAGACGCTCTGTTCTGGTTCCACCGGGACCTGGTTTATGGAGACTGGAACATGGGGGAGAATGCTGATGGCTGCTATCAGCACTATAAGGACATGGACATCCCCGAGGTGAGAGTCAGTGATGGTGTAAGGGAGGAGGGTGGTGTCAGAGAGTCGTGGAACGCTGTATGTATTTCTTTCTTTCTATTTCATTTGTTTACAGAAAATAATGCAGAACGGTTCACTTTACATACACGTCTACTTCACTAAAAGTGGATTTCACCCAGATCCCAAACGTAAAGGGCAGTATCGCAGACTGGCAACAGTACATTCAACACGAAGTACGAACTCGTCAAAAAAAAAAAATTACGCAAAGAAACAATTTTGGGGGGAACAATTGAACAGAATTAAGTTTTCTTTATTTTTTTCAGTGCTGAATAAATACAAGCGAAGAAAGTTCCTGAAGACCAAGAACCTCCTAACGGGAGAAACAGAAGCAGATCCTGAAATGATAAAGGTACGGATGATTCACGGTTCACGATCACTGTTAAGGACTGTGGATATATAACAAAAAAATATCTCTAATCTGTTTCCCCAGAGGGCTGAGAGCCACGGTCCAGTAGAAATCATTTCTCACTGGCATCCAAACCTCACCATCAACATGGTTGACGACCACACAGCGTGGGTCAAAGGCTCTGTTCCACCTCCCTTAGACCAGCGTGAGTTCTTCCCTCGGATTATTTCATTGTACAAAAGTCTTAACATCTAGGAAAAAAAAAATTATTTTAATGTATTTTTGTGTCAAAACCATCTCGCATTATTCCTCTTCCATCACAGATGTGAAGTTTGACGCAGTCAGTGGTGACTACTACCCCATCGTTTACTTCAATGACTACTGGAACCTTCAGAAAGATTACTACCCCATCAACGAGACCTTGACCCAACTGCCCCTGCTCCTCACCTACTGCCCCCTGTCTTTATGGCGTTGGCAGCTGTACGCCGCCCAGAACGCACGCTCGCCGTGGAACTTCCTGCCAGAGGACACGTACGAGCAGTCTGATGAAGACCAGGACTCTGTCAAGGTATGAGCTCGAGTTAGTTAGCGAAAAAAAAAAGGCATTCCCAGTTTTTTAGGAGGAAAATCATATATTACAAAACAAATGTTTCCTACTAAATGTAATTTGTAAATTGACGTTCTGTCTTATATAGGTGGCGCTTTTGGAGACCAACCCATACCTGCTCGGACTCACCATCGTAGTCTCCATCGTACACAGCATCTTTGAATTTCTTGCTTTTAAGAACGGTATGTTCCCAGAGAGCTTAAAAGAGTTCGTGCAGTGTTCTTCTACCTTCACGTTCACATCATCACTGTCTCCTTCTTAGATATCCAGTTCTGGAACAGCAGACAATCTCTGGAGGGTCTGTCTGTGCGCTCCATCATATTTGGGGTCTTTCAGTCACTCGTGGTCCTGCTTTACATCCTGGACAACGAGACCAACTTTGTCGTGCAAGTCAGCGTCTTCATCGGACTTCTCATTGACCTGTGGAAAATCACCAAAGTCATGGACGTCAAAGTAAGCTGGACCCACGCTGTTTTCATAGATTTTTTTTTTTTGTCATCGAGTTATTTCCCAACAAGTGGAACAAGTTCTAGAGGACACAGACCCAGATATATATTAACGAAACGCAAGTTGGAATTCCAAGTATGCAGCAGCCCTTGCATCATTCACTCTGTCGAGTCATGCTTCGATAAGCCCATAACATGTGTGTGCTCTTTAGCCTCTTTGCAGTGGCTTCATGCTGTTGACCAAATTTAGCCTGTCTGTTTAAATCAACATGACTGATGCATCGGACCAGAATTATTAGTAAATAGGAAGAGGCTGTAATTGTATACTAAAATCTAAAAAGTCTAATCTAAGTCATTAACTTGCTTGCTAACGGCAAAACAACACCGTTACACTATTGTCTTAACAAAAAGAACAAAGTTAGCTCGCTTGTTCATCTGTATTCTTATCCACTTGTTAATGTTTTTTTTTTAAGCTGGACAGAGAGAACAAAATCGCAGGAGTTATCCCAAGGGTGTTATTCACAGACAAGTCGACATACGTGAAGTCTTCAACCAAAATCTATGACGATGTGAGTTCCCAGATTTGTCATTTGTTTTTGGTTTTTTACTCTGAAACTAAACAAAATAACTTCTTTCAACGGACAATAACTCATTACTTCTGCTGCTGCGTTGTCTTTTCACAGATGGCCTTCAAATACCTGTCGTGGCTGCTCTACCCTCTGTTCGGCTGCTATGCCATCTACAGTTTATTGTACGTGGAGCACAAAGGCTGGTACTCGTGGGTACTCAGCATGCTCTATGGCTTCTTGTTAACATTCGGTGAGTTGGGTTTTTTTTTTTTACATATAAATATTTCACAAGACATTTAGAGTTAATTGTCTAACTTCTAATGTGGCTGAAGTCATTCAGAATAAAAACTACCATATTAAGGAATAAGGTGCAAGTTTTAAGTCCAACAGGGTGTTGTAAAAAATATTGTTTGTAATAGTGATAGTGCTCCCTATGCTCAGCAGGTTTGCTTTTGTTATTGTTGATATACTGTATGTGACGCTGCTCTTTTTGTGTACGCATCATGGTTACACTCTATTCCCTGTTGGCGCCGCCACAGTGCAGTGTATTAATAGCTTTCATAAGAGCCTCTCAGTTATAAAAGCGCCTGTTTAATTTGCTGCCCTCCAGTGGCAACTCTTTTAACTCCTCCCTTTTCCTTGGCTCTAGGTTTCATCACGATGACGCCACAGCTGTTCATCAACTACAAAATGAAGTCTGTGGCTCACCTCCCATGGAGGATGCTCACATACAAAGCTCTCAATACCTTCATCGATGACCTGTTCGCCTTCGTCATCAAGATGCCCATGATGTACAGGATAGGATGCCTCAGAGATGGTGAGACTTGTCTTATATTTCTGTTTAAGGGGAGTTTGATTGTAATAATTTGACCGACCATGTGGGTAACGCCACGTATGGCTTAACTTGAACGTGACTGGGTCATTATCATGTACAACCCCAAAAACTAAGCACACATGCCTTTTTAGCACAGCACTAAGTGAACACTAGCTATATTACACTAGTTCCAGTCTTCACTACTAGGCACTAGAAGTGCTTGGAAATTGGAGCTACTTCATGGGAATACAAAGAGCTACTTGTTTGATACAGACTTTTCGAACAATTTAGTAATATTTAAAAAGAAAACTAATGCTGCTTCGTCAAGTTCTGGGACATATAATAGTAGACACTCTTTTCATCTTTGTCATTGCACCCATTTGAATATCATTACAAGTGTATCTGATTCAAAAAGCACAGTAAGAGTACAGTTTTTGACCCTCGTTTACTTTATTGTTGCCCAGTGTCCTGGCACTTTATCATACCTGCCAGAATAGTATACGCTACTTTACTGTGCACAAAAAAGTAAATGTAGTTTTAGTAGATTCAGTCGAAATCCATAGATATGCCAGTGCCATAGTTAAAGGGACAGAAACTAGCTATTAGAACCAGACAGTTAAACATGTGTTGAAACAACAGCTGTACTCAATCCTTAGTTTTTCAAATAAGTCAATTTGTTCACATCATCATGGTGGAAGTGACTTGTTGGCTAACCTTTGTTTCCTGTCCTACAGATGTGGTGTTCTTCATCTACCTTTACCAGCGTTGGATCTATAGGGTCGATCCCAACCGGGTCAACGAGTTTGGCACCAGCGGAGCGGATCAGAGTCCCAACAACACAGCTGTGGTGGCAGGAGATGCTGCCTCTGCTGCTGCCGCCGCCACTGTTGCCGACACAGACAAATCAGAGGGGGAGAAAAAGAACGATTAAACCAGATGGTGCCCTCCCCCTCCAGGGCCAAGAGGACTAGTAAAAATTTCAGAAGGAGGGGAGATGTTGTTGTTTAGCTGTCATGGACGCCGCTATACATTTAAAAAAAAAAAAAAAAAAAAAAAGCAGTTCAACTGTTCTCTCTGATTTCTGTGTGGATCCACAGAGAGTCACGTTCTGTGTAAACATGTTAAAAAAAAAAAGTTTTATTTTGGTTTCCAGCCCATTCCCACCCTCTCGTCTTGCAGTTGAAGTGAAGTAAAACAAAAAGGTGATGTATGTGTATTCTGTACGAGTCTTCAGAGGGTAACCATTTTTTGGGATAGAGGTGGGAGGGGACAGGTCACAGTAACACTCCTATCACTTTTATATGCAGGGAAAAAAAGAGGCCAAGTGCAGCTTTTGTTCTTTGTGTAGATTCCTCCGGAACTTTTCTTTTCATTCCATGTGAGCGCCATCGTCTTTTTTTTTTCTGATTTTTTGATTGCCTAAAAACTTGTGAGTAGTGCTGGAGGGAAACTGGAAAGGTCTTGAGCTGAGCGGTGACTAAAGTCGGAATGAATGACGCTACTGGATGCTACCCACGAGACAGTGACTACTACTCTTAATTTTAATAGTTAATGTTCATGACCTGAACATAAAAACAGCCTTGTTGGTATTAATATAAATATATTAATATTGTCAATGATGTCATTCTTTTTTTTCATCACTGAAACATTTTTTGTATGTCCTCAAATTGTACAGAATCTCAGCTTGTCATGTTAATAATACAAAAATGTCAAAACCGTCTAAGAGTTTCTGATTTCCAAGTTTGTTTTGATCCTCCTGAATGGATCCTTGATTTGAACACTTGTGGCCAAAATGCCTCAACTGAAATAGTGGCAAAGTGTAAACTGGAAGAATTCCTGCGCCTCCTGATTGTTAGCCCGGTACATTGTCCCGAAAGAAGAATAGAGGGCTTGAGCTGAGGACTAACCACGGAATCTGTGTTTTAACACCTTTCGGTTTCCTTTTCCTGCAAACGGCTTGTTATTCGTATGGCCAACAGGTGTCAGTATTTCACTTTACACACTGACTTTTTTTTTCAAGACCCACACTTTGCTATTATAATACTTTTGGAGGACGAGGAAACCCCGCGATTTCTTAGCCTGTAGTTAGAGCTCTGATGCAAGAAACAGAAACCCCTAATGGTTTCAGTCATTCAATAGCCTGACACATTACTTATCATTTAACCAGCCAACATGTAGAAGCCAATGCTGCGTCAGTTTAGAAACAACTTACTCATATTTTCCATTCGGTCTCAACCCCCAAATACAAGTGGACACATTTGCAGTGGACTCGTTTCTTCTCGTATCATTGCTATAGACTTATTCACGGGGTGCTGTGTATATACGTTGTAGCTGAGAAGTATAATAAGGCAGAGGCAGCTTTTATTTTATTAGAAAGCGGTTTGTTTTTACCTTCAGTCAGCACTTTTGTTTACCGCGCACGCCAAACCGCTTGGAGCAAAACTTGACCAGCTCTCATACATTTCCCCACTCTGGCCGGACAAAACACACTGCGCGTGTGCGCTACAAAGTGGTGCGTTCAATGCACTCAAGAAACGTCAAAAAAGCAGAAGATAACTATTTCTTCCACGAACTTAACAAACTTGTCCCTGATTAACAACTGGACCAATTAAAATATGGTTTCAGTCATTATACGTAAGCATGCGCCACATGAGCCACCTCCCTGTCACGATTTATCATTTCTTCTCATGAAAATTGGATTAGAATCCAGACGTAGTTTGTCCACCATGCACTGAAAAGATAAAACTGGAAAAGCCGTCGTCACAGTCGAACTGGGTTCTTGTTTAATTGACACGATGACGTCATGACATAACGTTAATTGGTGACTCCAGAAAGCCAAAGATAATTATTGACTGGTCTGCACAGTATAAACAACAATATAGAGAGAAACTTTGAAGTGATTTAAAGACAACGGTCCCTGACAGAACATTAATAACTTTATAGGAGCTGAAGAGATTGACACATCACTTTCCGAAACGCAAAGCCTGATGTGTTAAACGCTTTAGTATTAACTGTTTTTGTGGTGTCTAATTTTATCTTTAACTGTATGTTCTCAGTTTAATCCAGATACTGGCGGTTCCCGGAAAAGGCAGTGGCTTAACTTGAACCGTGCGATTAAATAAACAATGCCTAACATTTTAATAAGTGCTTTCACTTATTAAATGGAACAAACGACCTAAAACTCGTCTAACCAGAAATGTTCCGATAGTCTTGAAGTCAAACTCTGCTTCTTGGGGGTGATTTCCCGTTCGAGTGATGACGTAACATTGCGGGGATTTCCACGTCTTGGAGCAGCCAATCAGAGCGAGGCTGCTGCGGAAACACTAAAAAGTCAAACAAAGTCCATTTCAGACACGTTTTTACGGCAGATGGAATTTATGACACCATTCGTAAGCACCACACAGAGCTAGTGACTCTTCGGAGGAGCGTTTAGCCGTACTCTTCGGAAGTGAAAGCCCACGAAAGAAAGCCGCTCAGAACTGGGAGCGCAGTGAAGGACACGGCGGCAGAGTTGATGGTGATCCAGGGTAGAGAGTTCATGCGATGACAGATATGGACAGCTTCACTGGTAGGTAGTGGATTTACAGTCGAATTCTCCGTCTCTGTGTTTTATTTCATTCTAATTAGATGAACTCAAATTCGACGTAAATATGTATTACAACCCGTATGTAAAAAGAAGAAACATCCTCAAATTCGCCTGTATCAACGGAAAACAATGGAGAGTCACTGTAATATTTTAGTCCGAATGGCCGTAGAATGTATATAGTATAAACAATACAACGCCTAGGGACATCTCGATATTTGCATGTATTGCATACATCGCAGTATTTACATAAGTATATTCATCGGTGATTCGTTTGTTGTTCTATGAGGAAGTAGACATTAAACAATGCGGTTGGTACATTTCTGTTTATGTAAACTTAGCTAAGTGAGACTACGAAGAAAAAAGAGGAACTGGTTTTTTTGGTTAACTACTTATTGTCCGAGCAACTGTTGTCCCCGATTGTTCTGTGCTGCTGAACACAACAATGATTATGACATTTGTGTTATAATTGTTCTGCGACACACGTTTTGGTTAAGGTTTTGTCGCTTTTATTAATTCGTCTCCTTGTGTTAGCAGTGTTACTACCTCATGACCTCGTTGTGGGTTTTGATGTGTGTGTGTTTGTGAAGTAGTGCTGATGTCATCCTCAGACATGTGATCTGTCAAAGCAAAGGCGCCGACACCCATTACTGCTCCGTCTTTTCCACTGCATGCTGTCACTGCTCTGTTCAGTGCTGCTTTAACAGTCACCACACACACACAGCCGCGGGTCTGCGCTCACTGACAGTTCCCTTTTTCTTGTTTGTTTGTGTTGCAGGGCAAGGGACGTCCGACTTTGGTGAGCCAGGACTTTTTGGTTTGTGGCAACAGTAGAGATTTTGGAATGTCATAAATGCTACAGTTCACATATGGACACATTTTATTTCAAAACCAATTGTTATCAGTTTATTTTCACCACAATGAAGATTTTCTAAGGATCAACTTATACATGGGTAAACAGGCAAACTGAAGTAAGCATAGAGTCTGTGTGACCTTAAGTAACCTCTGGTCACATTCTGCTGCTTTGGTTTTTTTTTCATCCTCACACAGTCTCTATAGTGAAGTAAAAACCTCAGCACGGCACACGAGGCAATGTAAACAAACATAAAATAATAATAATTTGAGTTAAGTTGTAAAAATTACAAAAAAACAATTACTATATATATATAAAAAATAATAATTTTCCTCTAATTTTCTGATGACCTTTATGGGCCAAATAATTACTGGCAATGCTACTTTATTTATTTATTTATTTATTTTTATTCTTTTAAATCAGATCTAATTCAGGAAATCATCAACGAACACTCGCCTGCCGCCCTCCCCAGGCCATGCTCCCCTCCTGCGAACCTCTTTCTCCCTCCCCCCTTCTGCCAACCCCCCAGGACTCACCCACAGAGCTCCTCCAGGTCAAAACAGCCAGTGCTAGTGGCAAGAGGCACCGGTCACCAGGTGAGTGACCACGGAAATGTCCCTGCTTCTAAAAGCGTCTACGGTTACAGCTCAGCTCGGGCTGTTACCTGCCGACCCGTTAGCAAGGGAGCCAATCTGTCAACACGATCTGAGCATTTTTATTCTACAGGTGGACAAATGTTATTCTTTGCAGTCACGTTTTTAGTCAGAAGGTTTGAAATTGAAACTGTTTGAATATGGGCTGTGCCTTAAGTGCCAGCGGAGGCCGTTGGTGGGAATGTACGGTCCCTGGAGTCTGGTTTATACCAGCAGGCAGAACAGGATGTGTCAAAGCAAAAGAATAAATATAAACCCACCTGAAGACTGGTCAGCAGAGCTGCTGTCTGGTTTCAACCGCAGCGTCAGTTTGTGGTTTACCGGCTGTTGGCAGTCAACGGTGCTCAAAGAAGGTGTGTCTTTTCTGTTTTCAGTCCTCACCATATCTCTACCTGGTTGAAGAGAATAGGAATGAAGTTACAAAATGAAGAAGCGACTTTCTGATTCATACATTTTCAGTGTTTGTACATGTGCAGCCCACAGACGATTGGCTGTCGGCTCTTCTGTTGTTGTGCAGAGCAGCGAGGTAGTCTGACAGGTCAGGCTCTTACTATAAAGCACGTGGTTTACAGACAGCAGGTGGGCTGCCGTTGTATAATGTGATTCAACTGTGATGCTGCAGCAGCTGGGTGCACACAGAAGAGAACAGCTTTAGCCCTTTCCTGTTCTGCTTTTATCTGATAACTACATTCTCACTGGTTTGTTTCTGGGAAGACAGTTTTTGTGTGAAGACAGCGTAACCACCCTCCGTGGTCCAATGTGGCCCCTGCTCCCCATCATGCATTCTTGTGGGAGGAGGCCGAGAGGGAAGGATAAGGAGGAGGAGGAGGAGAACTGTAACCCGACTCTTAGTTTCAGTTTGCCGTCCTCTCTGTTTACTGGCCAAACCCACTGGATGTTAAAGGTTGCATTCTTAACACGGTGAGTCTGCAACTGGTGCGTTCAGCATCAGTGACTCCTCCACTTCCTGTTGGCGGCCTTGCGTTCGAGCGTCAGTGTTTTAACGGAGAACAGGTAGGGCTCACATTTATGACACACAAAAAACGCAGTGGCGCGTATTTGCAGCTCCACAGGAAACTGTGAAACATGAGCTCATGAAACAGGCATCACCCAGATCACCGTTTTCCTAAGTCTGCAGCCGCCCGGGTTCCAGAGGACCCGTCTCTCTCGCTTCTTTGTTCCGTACAGGTTTGACCAATACTCCTCTGGCTGCAGTGACTTAAGTGTGAGTAGTTCTTAGGTTTTGTAATACGTTTTGCTTTGTACTGCTTTGTGAAGCCCTGGAGACAGGAAAGAGCAAATGTGGCTCGAAGTAAGAGAGAGAGAGGGAGGAAAAGCATGATGGGTTAACAGAATGTCACATGACTAAACCTTCTAACCTGAAGCACTGATGCAAAGCACATGTAGGGCGAAGGAATACGTACGCTGACTCCCGTTGTGTTGTTTCCGTCGATGTGAACATTCCTTTGTCTGAAATTCCTTTCATGTGATTGTTTGTGAGGGGCACGTAAGGGTGCACTGGGCAGGATTTAGCAACATCTAGTGGTGAAAGTAGAGTTTGTGCCAAGTTGTGATGGTGCAGGGACACAAATGCAGCACAAAACTTACTAGGTCGCAGGAAGAAAACCCTGGTTTTGGGTTTTCTTCAAAACTTACTAGGTCGCAGGAAGAAAACACAAAACCAACTAGGCATGGCCGCAGACCAGACACAACAGAACACTGATCCCACACAGACAGAGTCAGGGAGAGAGGTGTATATATACCCAGAGCACCAGGTGACACCAGTGAGACTGATGACAAGGACACAGGTGAGGGTGATGACACTGATTAACCCTACACAGCAGACAGACAGAGCTGACAGTTTGTGATTTCTATACCCATAATGCCACTGTTCCTGCTTAAGCGTAACAGGAGTAATATGACGAGTAATATGAACAATGAAAGCAATGAATGCTACTAGTGCCTGCTTCTCTTCACCCCTTTTTTAAATATTATATTATGAGTTGATGATGGTGGTTGGTACAGTGGCCTTAAAGCCAAAAGGTCACTAGTCTGATTCCTGGTGGAAACTGATGGTCATTTTGTACAAAGGATTAACATTCTCCCTGTGTAAGGGTGGATCTTCCATATAACAAAAACATGTAGGATTAGGTACAAGTGTGAATGGTTGTTTGTGAACCTGGGATCTGGGTGTATGCCAAAATAACTGCCGGAACCCTGAAAATGATTCAGTAATAAAAGATGAATGAATCTTTATCAAATGACGTTTTATTTTGAAAAATTACCCCACTCTTTATCAAGAACGTTATCAAAATCAAAATAAGAGTCTTTGAAAAACTTCTGAAAAAGGAGAGATTTTACATATCTACAGTGTTCGGACGAGTTTTTCTTTTAAGCAAGTGCAAGTGTACGAGTTTTTCTTTTAAGCAAGTGCAAGAGCTGTAAAATATCAAATCTTTTTTGTCACATTTTTATCGTACTTTAAAAACACGATTAAAAAAAACCAAGGTCTTATACAAAACTAGTTGTTCCCAAACTTTCTCTGCAGCGCCCCCTTTTGTAGATGAGTTTGTTGTCAAGCTGAATTCACAACAGTCTTCAATCAATTTGCCTTGCCATGTCCCCCTTACAATAAGCCCGCCCCTTACTTTTGAAACCGCTGCATAAAAACAAAAATGAAATCCACAAAGAAGAGGTTGGTGACCTCTGCCTTTGTCTGTGGCGGGGTTGGCGTCCACTGTCTGTTGTTTTTTTCTGGGATCTTGTACAGGTTACGACATATTTTTTTTTTTTTCGATTCTAAATATCTCTTGTTTTTTGACAACTGTCCTTTCCACTTTTTCAGCCCTTTCTACTACCGAGCGATTTCAAAGACATGGCTTCTGCTTCCCGAGCCTCCGCCAAGTCTTCTCGCCATTGTCAAGGTTTGGGTTTGCCGGACCTGAGGAGCTCCGAAAGGATCGCCTCCAAAAACAGGAGCGACACGTCTATGCTGGAGCGGGTGCTGGAGAAGCCCAGGCTGGTGGTGGTAGAGGAGCCCAAGGACAGGGGCATGAGATTTCGGTACGAGTGTGAAGGACGCTCTGCCGGCAGCATCCTGGGGGCGTCCAGCACCGACACCAACAAGACTCAGCCCACCATTGAGGTTTGAACATTGCTAGTTTGGTTTGTCTAAAGTAAAGGTCTTCAACAGGGAGGCTCTAACCCAAACTTTTGATTTGTGGGCCACAATGGGTCCTACAGTTTTGTAGGGTTTGTGTGAACTAACATAAATGACTCAGAGCACCTCAGTGGTAACTTGGCAGCTGGTGGACTCAAACCCGAAACCTTCCACACCCAAGTCCGCCTCCTTAACCACTAAGCCTCCACTGCCCCATTACAGGGCAAAGGCAGATGTATAAGGCTAATATAAATGAATAACATAATTTCGACAAGTTTGGTGGGCCAGATTAAAAGGCCAAATGTGGCCCCCAGGCCGTAGTTTGCCCTAACCTGGTTAAGGTCTAAGGTTAGAGTCTAACCCTTAAGGGGATCACAGGGGTACCGAAGAGTGGTCGTGATGTTTTTGATATATATATATATCACTAATAAATATATATATAAATATATACTGTATATATATATATCACTAATATATATATATCACTAATAAATTGCAGTGGCACAGCTGTGCCTTCATGTTTGAAATAATAAATGAACCTGTGTCAAATATGAACTGTTTAGTATTTAATGCACAATTATATATATATATATACACATATATATATATATATATGATATACTACATAGTAGGGTTAGTAGGGTTGTATTAGGTTTTCTTAACCTAAAAAAAAAAAAAAAACCAAAGCAGATCCCTGGTCTAGAGTTAACTGTGCGGTGTTTACTTAAAACCACCTCATAGTGGCACATGAGGATAGGTGTAGCTGCAGGGCCGTGGGTTTACGAAGACACGTAGAAAGTCCCTACCATCCCCATCTCTAGTGTGGTTCATGGCGTGCGGTCTGAAGTTAGGCTGCACACGAGATAACGTTTCTACATCGCCACGTTCTTCATGAAATAACCACTCCCCAGTCTCTCGGTGCAATGGGATTATATGAGTATTAGAAAGTTAGATGTTTTACTTCAAATGAAATGAGCAAAGTCCGTGCGGCGTCTTCTGATATTGTTTTTATTTGAATTTTTTATTTTAAAATTCTAGGGCAAAACAATGCAATATAATATTTTATTATGTTCATATTTCAAGGAACTAAAAGTAAATATATGTGATCGAAATAACATTTCCTGAGTTCAACATATGTATTAGTACATAATTTCTCTGACATTTTCAGCTTTGGAAGTTTTGTTGGCTTTTTTTTCCAAGTATTTCTGATTAGTGAAAAAGTTGGTTTTATTACTAAATGATTTAATATGTCTATCCCTATTTTAGATTCAGGGTCCCATTGAGGGTATCAAGAAGGTCAAAGTCACGGTTTCCTTGGTAACCAAGGACCTCCCACATAGACCTCACCCCCACTGCCTGGTGGGTAAAGACTGTCCTGTGAGTTCAGGGCTCTGTGTGATCACACTGAACCCTCACACTAACAGACGCCACAGGTGAACATCCATCTTCCTTTTGTCTCTCTCTCCTAAAACATCCAACCGGATATTCTTTCATTTTCTGATGTCACTTTGTTCTATTTCAGCTTTGCCAACCTGGGTATTCAGTGTGTCAGGAGAAAGGAGCTGGACCTTTCACTTCAGAAGAGAAGAAGCCAAAACGTAGACCCCTTTCAAAGTGAGTGGGATCGAAAACACACCCGCGTGGACCTCTTTCTTCTTACCGAACGCCTCTGTGGCTCATTTCAAATCTTCTTCTCGCACAGCCGGTCACTCGAAGGGCATCGAAGATCTGGACATGAACGCAGTGCGTCTTTGTTTCCAGTGTGAGCTCGAGTGGGACGACGGCCACAAGGACAGCCTGAGTCCAGTGGTGTCCACAACCATTTATGACAAAAGTGAGACAACATTTACCGTCTGGTTCTTGTTGGCAGAAAGTCCAAACCTAACCACAAAGAAAAAAAAAACCAAAGAAATAAAAAATGCATTTTTTACTGATCTTGTACCTTTTTCTTTGCAGAGGCCACAACTACATCTCAGCTGAAGATCACGCGTTTGAACAAATACAAAGATTCCTGTTATGGTATGACAGAGGTCTTCATGCTGTGTGACAAAGTCCAGAAAGGTGAGTGGAAGACGCTAGCTCATTAGCTTTATCTGACATGGTTTAAAGCAGTGGTCCCCCAACCCCAGGGCCATACCTTACATTATTTTCGTTTCATTTATGATCTGATTCTAAACGATGTTTTATTTTGAAAAATGACTGGATTCTCCCTGCCACATCTGTCTATGACTCTTGACACTTGATACATGTCAAGATGCTTGACTTGATTTGATTGTTTTTCTTTAGGAAAATACCAGTTTTCATGTCTTACCTACATCTGCTACCTTCTCAAGCTAGCAGAAATGCTAGCAAGCTAGCAAAATGAACAGAAAACAATTTTTATTTTTTTAGGAAACTATGTCGGCCATATCATTTAATTTAGTTGTTTTTATCCGCAACACCTTAAAGGCCAGTCCGTGATGCAAAAAAGGGTCGGGGGCCGCTGTTTAAAGGACTTTAGAGCTGTGAAACAACCTTACTAAGAATTACCGGAAAGCAGGAGACGGTGTAAAAGCTCTGCTCACTTTCTGGTCAGCCGTCTGTGTTGACTACACAGGTTTCATTATGTATTTACTTGTTTTATCATTAGCTTCATTGATAAATAGCCTCATGTTAGGTCAGTATCCGTTTGAGGATTATTTGGTCAAAACAAAAAGATTTGTTTATGTTTGGATATAAATAGCCTTTTGTAAATGTGAAGAAAACTCGTATCGGAAGTATCAGTACTTTATCGGTATCTGCGACTATAGAAATGAAAACGCGTTTTTTTTTAAACAAAATATAGATAAAGTATTGAGACGTCAAGAAAAACTTTAAGGTAATTGTATTGATTATTTAATGGGGGTGTGGTACAATTTCCATCTGAAATGCCACGCAGAATGTTCTAGGTCCAATTTTACCTGCAATCCCAGGTTGGGTTGAAAGAGTAGCTGTAGTATTGTCTCCGGACTAACGAGCCTGAAACCTCCGGTCACTGATCCACAGACGATATCGAGATCATTTTCCGTCGCGGGTCATGGAAGGCAAACGGCGAATTCACCCAGACAGACGTGCATCGGCAAATCGCTATCGTGTTCAAGACTCCGCCCTACCAGGACCAAAACATCACAGAGGAAGTGGACGTCAGCGTTTCGCTGCGTCGCATCTCGGACCAGATGGAGAGTGAACCAGTGACCTTCACGTACCAGCCTAAGGACCTGGGTGAGTAAAGACTGTCTTGAATTGATGACGCTCATCGGTTTCTCTTTTATACCTTTCATCACACGTCGCTCGAGATTAGGGCGTAATATTTACAGCGCAGTTTGTCTTTCAGATCCATACGAGGTGAAGCGCAAATTTAGAATCAAGTCTGACATCAGTTTCAGAGGGAAGTCGTGTGTAGCAGGTAAGGTGGAACTTTTTAAACTGTATCCTTTACGTTTTACATTTTGATGTATTGCAGCTCAAAACGTGTTTTATTTCAATATTTGTTTACCATCAATATTTAAATATAACTTCTTAAGACTAAGCAAAGCTCAGCTGCTAAACTCTCCCACGCCCCCGCCCGACCTCACAGATAATTGTTTTCACACATTGGGGGAATTGAACCTTCGAGTCAAACACCTCTGAATTCTGGAGCAGTTCTTTGAGAGATTTGATGATGAAAACATTCAAACAAATTCTCATATAAATAGCCTACAGGTGTCGCTAGATGTCGTGTCATCAGCAGCTCATATCAGTTGAATCCATGGTTATGGATGTTTATTTTAATATTTATACCGATAGCTTGATTGTGAAATCCCCTCTAAGGATTTTCCAGCAAGAATCAGATTACATTACGGTGAAGTGTGAAGTTCATTCCCTGATAATTGACCTCTCACCAGTTTGTATTTGGTCTGTAACACGATCGCCTTCTTCTTCTTCTTCTTCTGCAGCTGAACAGCACTTTCAAAACCAAAACGCTCAGAGATCGATGTTCCCAGACAAACGACAGTGTTCTGACCAGCTCGTGGCCCATGCGTTGTCGGAGACGTGTTTCCACATGCAGCAAGACTCAAGCGACTGCACAGATGACACGGCCTTCGTGGAGCAGCTGTTATGGGATATGCTCGCCAACGATGAGTCCCTGGAGCAGGAGCTCTCCTCCCTCGCCGGCATGGAGACAAACTTGGCCAGCATGGACACAAACTTTATCCAGAACTCGGGCATGCTCACGCAGGACTTCTGCCAGAACAATGATGTGCAGTTCAACAAGCTAGTGAATGAGAGTCAGACCGTGAAGTCAGAGCCGCAGGACAGCGTGACAAACGCGTTGCAGGTGAAAGAAGAGGAGACACTAGAGGACTTTAGAGGTCTCTGTGAATTGTTGTAGGTCATTTTCTGTGTAGTGAAAGGTCAAAGAAGGTGATTCGCACACGGTCAGCTGAAAAAAACAAAACACCTGTCTTAGATCAGTAGAAATCCATCAGCGGACAAGATGGTGTCAGGTCTGCATGATCTGTTTTGTTCGCTGTAACACTAGTCTAAACCACTTAACCACATTAAACATCAGATTTTTTTCCCCCAAATCCCTCGCTTGCATCTTGTTGTGCAGTTTCACCCTTCTGCTATTTCAACATTCCATTTGTCACTCGTGCAACTGTGCCCTCCTGTTGCCAGGGCAACGATGTGTAAATATTAAAAGAAAGTAAAAAAAAAAAACCCCAATGTGTGTTTGTGTCAAATGTTTAAGTGCTGTTTCTTCTATTTTCTCACACTTTAAATGTCAAGGAAGCGACGTAAAGTGAGTCAAACACTTTAATGCGGTCCGTCTGTATCGGCCTGCCTACACACATTCCTAACCTGTGAGTGCAACCAGGACACTAGGCGAAAACACAGGGAGGGTAATTTCATGCTTCTCTCATTGAGTCAGCAGGACAATCAGTTGTTAGTAAGGTGGTCATTTGTTATTTCTAAAAGGCTTTTTCCTACATGAAGTCAGTGTTTAG